ATAATAATAATAATAATAATAATAATATACTTTATTGTCATTGTACATAGTACAACGAAATTAAAGATGCAATCATTTCAGTGATCTACAACCATACTCATATACACTCACACAACCATTCACAACCATCCCATAACTCCCTTAAGGTTCACATTGCAACTTAAACCACCAATGTCACCCAAATCCCCCAGTGGGGCACAACTGCAGTAATATTTCCTCATGGTAACCAGATGCTGGGTCGTGGGAGACATTGGCAGGAGGAGGGTCTTAGACTGTCGATGCAGAGAAGGGGAGCAGGGAGCCCTGATCCTCTCGGCACGTAATTCCTGCCGGGGCCAGGTGGTACCAGTGAAAAGAGGGAGAAGGGGGGAGAGAAGACCCCCCTCTGAGGACTGAGACAGGTGTGAGATTGGTATGTTGCCAGGTGGAGTTCTGGGTGGCCACTGATTCCCAGACGCCTCGGAGGGCAAGATGGAGCAGCACCCACAGGCCAATGGGGCAGACGCTGGCCCCTACCTGGCCTTGGTCTCCCCACCCCCAATTCCATCGCGAGGGAGGCAGCCTAATGCCACCTGGCTATCCCCCCCCCACGCCTCCATGAGCTGAGGGTGCAGTAATGGTCTTGTGGTTCGATGGGCCCTTTTGGAATGTGCTCCCTGAAATAGGACGGAGTCACAAGCACACACGTGTCCCTGTTTTTGAAATAAACAGCCCTCACTTTTGCCACTGCCACCAGCTGACCCCATTCAAAAGGTCGGCTCCACTTGTTTTCATGGAGTATTTGGCAATATGGTAATCAACTGAACGATATTTTTTTTCTTTTTTCTCCTCTGTACCATATTGAGGTCATAATTTATAGAACTGTCCTAGCACATGATCATTGTGTTGCATGATGATCTTTTCAAACTCAGTCAAGTCTCTTCTTCCGTGTCTTTCTGTGAGAAGATCTTTCTTAAATCTACAAGTTAATTGAAGGGAGACTAACCATTGTATCTTCTTCCCTTCTTCTTGAATCTTTTGCCAAGATCTTATTTCAGCTTTTGATCATTTTCTCTCTCTCTCATGTTTATTCTAGTATGCATGTGTTGGTGACATAATAGGGGATATCGTGGGGCTGATTCTTTTTCTTAAAGGCTCCCAAGTTTGAAGTAAACTGTCTCTAATTATATGGTTTTTGTCTTGTCCTTTGTTTTTCGAAGTTAACCTTCTTTGGATTGTGAAAATTTGCAGTCCCGTTCTCTAGCCCTGCAGCTTCTAGTTTCATTAGTCTTTCATTTGGGTTTTTAATCCATTCTGTGATCCAGACTAGTTTGGCAGCTTGATAAAATAGCTTGAGATTGGGAACTGCCAGTCCTCCTCTTTTTTTACCTGTCCTGCAGCACTCTGAATTTCATTCTTGGTTTTTTCCATTCCAAATAAATGCATTTATTTGTTTCTGACAGTCCATCAGAGTTTTTGACACAACAGGAGGAGGATATTGTTAAGAGAATTATAGGATGTGAAACCACACCAAAAACTGTTACAAAACTACGTGGGCAGAGATGCAAGGAGACTCGGCAAAATGGTCTAAGCTAAAATTATCATGGTTGGGGAAAATCTCCACAATAAAAATGAATATACTGCCAAAACTGAATTTCCTGTTCCAAATACTACCAATGTCCACGCCAGAAAACGGAACAATATTTGATCATTCAGGTGGGTTGCCGTGTTGGCATGAAGCAATAGAACAAAGCTTGAGTCCAGGGGCACCTTTAAGACCAACAAAGTTTCATTCTGGGTTTAAGCTTTCGTGTGCAGGCATACTTTATTTATTTAATTTATTTATAATCAAATTTATACCCCGCCCTCCCCGCAAAGCAGGCGGGGTATAAATCAGATCCAGATATGCACACAGAAGGTTATGCCCAGAATTAAACTTTGTTGGTCTTAAAGGTGCCTGACTGGACTCAAGTTTTTTTCTAGTACTTGATGAGTCAGTTGACTGACGTCCAGCCTCTGAGCCAGCGTGGCAGACTGGGAAGCCAAGCAGGTTTGTCCTCAAGCCACTCTGCTCAGCAGTAGCATCGACGGCTGCTGGCTTGCCGCCTGCCGCCTGCCGCCTCCTGCCAACCGGTGGCCCTGGGAGGGGAGGCAGTTAGCGGACGGACGCTGATCTCTGCTGCCACTGAAGGCTCCATGCAAAGGCACCCCCGGGGGCACTTTGGGTTGGCTCTTGTCTGCCAGCCCACTGGGAAGTTTCTCCTCTGCCTTTAGCAAGAGCAGTAAAACTATCCTATTGGCATAATGCCATTGCTGATTGAGAACAAGTAGTGGGCTTCTGGGGGGGGGGGATGCATTCCTACGTGATACCCTAGATTTTAAAGAAACGTGGAGGATATTGGGGGGCAAGAATAGCCTTTTAAAACTATGAAATGTAAAATGACTCCTTGGTTTTGGTAGGAGGAACGCTAGGGAAGTAAAGGTAGAGAGACCCTGGCCTCTATAGCCAGAAAGCAAAGAAAAGGTTAATTTTTTCACAGAGATAGATCCAGATGGGTGGCTGCCGTGTCAGTCTGTCTGTAGAAGTAGAAAAGAGCCAGAGTCCAGGAGCGCCTTCAAGACTAACGACACTTGTGGCCGGGGAGGAGCTTCCGTGAGTCACGGGGGGGGGGGCCTTCTCAGTCTTCAGGGTGCTGCTGGACTCTGGCTCTTTCCTCCTTTTTTACAGTGGTCTCTTTGCTGCATTCTTATACTGGCATGATTTTAATAATTATATTTTGGTAAATACCTTTTGGAATGCAGACAAATCAAACCAAGGAATGGGATCCTATTCAGTTATTTCTGTAAAAACAAACCCTGAACTCTTTTCCTTGTATTTGGGGAAATCTTTGAGAAACCAGTTGAAATCCCTGCAGATGGTCTCAATCTCATGTGTACTGCCTGATATTTTCTTCAAGATGACACCCCCAGATCCATACCTTCGGCAAGACTGGCAGATGGTTCGTGGTGTTCCTATGGTCTGTGCTTTCTCCTTTGACTGGGACAGGATCGACAATTTCCAGAGCAGACCTGATGATATTTTGATATCCACCTACCCCAAATCTGGTGAGTTCTAACAGGGACAGGATGTTTCAATGAGCGACCTACCCCTGCCCCCCCAAAAAAAAGAAAATAAAAGAAAGGAAATAAAGTCTCCCCCCCTCCCCACTCCTTGGTAAACAAAAATATTAATATGCAATATGGCAGGGTCAGCCGTTTGCTTGGCTGCAGTGGCGTCCCGCTTCTGCTGTCTGAGGCCTCGCACTGCCTCATGTTAGGGCTGGCTGTGACTGGGGATGACATTTGGGCTCTGCAAATGCCGGGAGGGGGAGAATCTGCTTCCGAAGCAGCGTAGTTGATTAAGACTAGACTCAAGTCACACAATATCAAGTGGCAACACTGACCTTTCCTCTGTGTACAAAGTGCATATTGTGATATCTGAACTGGGATGTGATCTCTTATTTGCTACAAGTGAGTTTAGAAGATTGACAATTTTGCTGTGGTTCAAAACCTCTGTTTACAAACAAGGAACAGTTTGCATTTTGTAAACCTTCCCAATTGTTTTTTTTGGGGGGTGGGGGAGTGGGAATTCTGGGGCGAAACCGGAGCCATGATCCTCATTCACCTCAAGTTGGGGGCTGGAGTTCTTCTGGCATGACCATTGCTCTCCAGACGAACAAATTCAGAGTCCAGTCAGGCACCTTTAAGACCAACAAAGGTTTATTCAAGGTGTGAGCTTCCATGTGCCACGCACACTTCTTCAGATACACGGGAATGGAATTTAGAGTTCAGACTTATAGACAGGCTGAACAGCAAGTTTACATGTAAAAGTTATGCAAAAACAAAACTAAATAACAAGCTAATTAAGTTTGTAAGGGCATCTTTTCTTAGGTGTGGAGGTAAGTTAACAGCATTTTCCCCCCTACACCATCAATCTGACAATGGACCAATCCATACAAGAAATAATTTTCAGAACACTACTGTAAAAGTATACAATGGATGCATAGATACCACCTTATACTGGAAACCTAGTAAAGGTAAAGGTTTCCCTTGCTCGAAAGCCAGTCGAATCTGACTCTAGGGATACCTACTGACCGACAAACATGCCTACGTGCCTGTCAAACCTTGCCTCGCTCTTGCTTCGCTCAGTTTTCCATAGAGGCTGGGAGAGCAGAATTCCTTAGGTGAGGGTGTGAGTGTGGAGTGTGTGACTGCACTATCGTAGAAGCGTAACTCTTAAGAAGAAGAAGCCTTTCTCTGGTTCACAGAGGAATGTCCTTGAATCTTCCAGTGCCAGCTTGCTCAGGAGATAGTGGGCTCATATATTTCCCATGTGAAAAGGGGATTTGAGACGCTGGAGCAAAGCGGTGTGAATGTGACATGTACATGGGGCTTAGGAGGGGTTATATTTGAATTACCTACGCCTATGTCTGTACCCACCAAAAGCTTCAGAACTGACACAGCATCATTGTTGTGTCCGCTGACCGCCACCGGAGGTCAGCACACACGCCTGAGCTTCAGCCCAGGACAACAATGGGGACTAGGATCCTAGTCCCTCCACTGGGGGAACCAATGGGACTGTGGCGGGAGATTCAAACCCGCCAATGGGACCCAGGGGTG